CCAAAGCCCCATATACTACCCACCACTGTGACCTGTACGCTCTTGTTGGCTGGTCCTCACTACATATTCGTCGCCAAACCCACTGGCTCCAGGCCATCTATAAATCACTGCTAGGCAAATCCCTGCCTTATCTTAGCTCATTGGTCACCATAGCAACACCCACCTGTAGTATGCGCTCCAGCAGGTATATCTCACTGGTCATCCCCAAAGCCAACACCTCCTTTGGCCGCCATTCCTTCCAGTTCTCTGCTGCCAATGACTGGAACGAATTGCAAAAATCTCTGAAGCTGGAGACTCTTATCTCCCTCACTAACTTTAAGCATCAGTTGTCAGAGCAGCTTACCGATCACTGCACCTGTACACAGCCCATCTGAAATTAGCCCACCCAACTACCTCATCTCCATATTGTTATTTATTTTGCTCATTTGCACCCCAGTATCTCTATTTGCACATCATCTCTTGCACATCTATCATTCCAGTGTTAATACTAATTGTAATTATTTTGCACTATAGCCTATTTATTGCCTTACCTCCATAACTTGCTACATTTGCACACACTGTATATATATTTTCTGTTGTATTTTTGACTTTATGTTTTCTTTTACCCCGTATGTAACTCTGTGTTGTTGTTTTTATCGCACTGCTTTGCTTTATCTTGGCCAGGTCGCAGTTGTAAATGAGAACTTGTTCTCAACTGGCTTACCTGATTAAATAAAGGTGAAATAAAATTCACTGTGAAGCGAAGACTTGGAGCTGCAGGTCTGACAGGTCGAGTGGCAGTAAGAAAGCCATTACTAAGATGGCAAAATCAGAAAAAAAGGCTTGCCTGGGCCTTGAAGCACCGCAAGTGGACTACAGAAGACTGGAAATCTGAAATCTTCGGTTCATCACGCAGGGTTTTTGTACGCCGTCGAGTAGGCGAAAGGATGGTTCCTCAGTGTGTGACACCAACTGTCAAACACGGAGGAGGAAGCGTGATGGTTTGGGGCTCTTTTGCTGGATCCAGAGTCGGCGACTTGCACAGAGTGAGTGGCACCCTGAACCAAAATGGCTACCACAGCATTTTGCAGCGCCATGCAATACCCTCTGGTGTACACCTAGTTGGTCAGGGGTTCATCCTACAGCAAGATAATGACCCAAAACATACCTCCAGGCTGTGTCAGAACTACCTTAGAAGAAAATAACAAGACGGTAGGCTTCAAATCATGGAATGGCCAGCACAGTCTCCAGACTTAAACCCCATCGAGATGGTTTGGGATGAACTGGGCAGAAGGGTGAAAGCAAAGCAACCTACAACACATTTGTGGGAACTTCTGCAACAGTGTAGGGAAGAACTTTCCGAACAATATTTGATTTCCATTGTAGAAATAATGCCATGAGTGTGTTCGGCTGTTATGTCTGCAAAAGGTGGCTACTTTGATGTGTCAAAAATGTAGATTACATTTTGTTAAACAAAACGATTCCATTATTTATTTTTTGTCTTCAATTGATTATTTGTTCTATGCTTTAATTTCAGAGTACATTAAGACATTAAACTGTGTGAATTTCAATAAAAACTGGAAAAATGGAGGTGTTCTAAAACTTTTGACCGGTAGTGTAAATGCAATCAGTTAACTGTGGAATCGAGATTGCTCTAATTAGATGTCTTTCTGCCACTAATATTTTACAGTTAGCTAGTCCTCCTCCTTACTTGCCTGTATGATGAGGTTTCTCCTGAAAGTGCACCATGAAAAGGAGCATAATCAAAGATACTAATCAAAGTAAGTTAAAATCTGTAGCAATTTTAGTGCCATTGGTCTTTTCTGATGGCTGGTTTGAACATATCTGACTACAGCTAGTTAGAGATTTCTGCTTCATGCACCCAAGTTCCGTAAACATGGAACGTCATTACGTCGATTTCACTAGTTAGAGCAGTTAATTTATATCGTAAAAATGTATTTGTACTTCCGTTCCATATGGAACATCATTGCGTCGATTTCACTAGCTAGCGCAGTTAACTTATATCGTACAAATTAATGAAAACAAAAAATATATATTTTTGTCTTCATTTAAGGTTAGGGGTAGGCATAAGGTTAGAAGTGTGGTTAAGGTTAAGGTTTAAAATCCAATTTTAAGAATATATATTTTAGAAATAGGCAGGTTAGTTTTTTTATTTGTATTATTTTATTTTGTTTATTGTAAAGCAATTCAAAATATATAATTTAGAAAAACAAACAGAGTATACAAACATTACAAACAACAGTCAAGGGAATAAAGACAATACATTTTATAAAGACCATTTAAAAATTACAAACATTCAAAGTTTTGATTGCTTTTTTTGGTATGAAAGAAGAAATTGTGTTTGTATATTGTTCAATTTCATTCTCAATAATAACAAACAAAGGTTTTTGACTCGTACATTTATGAATATGGAATTTAGCTAAAATAACAATGATGTTGATTAAAAAGAAAGGCTTTGCATAGACTTTGTAAAACCAAATATCACATTTTCAAGTAGAAGAGAAAAATTTACGTGTATATGATCTAAAACAAATCTACAGATACTGTATCTTGCCACAGCTTTCGGGTATAAGAGCAATACCAAAATAAATGTAAAACAGTCTCCGGTTGTTAATTACTGAAGGTACAATAAATATTAATGTATTTTTTAACTTTTCAAGATAATGTTTAGTAGGGTAGCACTTGTGGATTAATTTATATGAAACTTATTTAATCTTATTAGTTAAAAGAAACTTCTGAGAGAGACCAAACATTTTTCCAATGAATATTTATTTAAAGGCCATTCCAGAAAGACATGACAAATGGGACTGAAACAACATCATATTGAAATAAGGCACGTATTTTCCTAACGTTGTTAAAAACAATAGGAGAGAAATATATCGTGCCTACTGGTGAGTCAGCTAGATCAAGAGATGGTAAAGAAGAGGGCATAGATTTGGCTACATCTTTAAAAAGTACAATAACTCTAGAGGGGATTGCATAAAAAACTACAGTAAATTCCTTTGGAGTCATCAGTATTTTATGAAAAGCAAAACAATTCGGCATAATTAAATAAAAAACCTTTATCATTGAACAGTTGACTCACCAATAGAAGATTGTTTTGGAACCATTTCTCAAAAAACAAGGACTTGCCTTTGTATAAGATATATATCTCTATTGTTCTAGATAAAATATCTGTATGGAGAAAAATTGTGCTTGTAGATCAAAGACCATGCTAAAATGGATTGTTTATGGAAATTAGATAAATTAGTCGGGATTTGTTCAATATTGTAATTACACAGGAGAATTTTGAGGCCACCTAAATGAGAAAAAAAACCTACTGAGAGATATAATTCCATATACAGGTAGGATTCTTCAGGAATTGTTAATCCAATTAATCTTGAGTGTTATTCAGTGGGAAAATCAAGAAAATTGAGACCACCCTATTCATAATCACAGATTTCTTGATATAATGTGTCCTGTTCTTCCATACAAAATGAAAAAGTATCTTATAATAATAATAATATGCCATTTAGCAGACGCTTTTATCCAAAGCGACTTACAGTCATGCGTGCATACATTTTTGTGTATGGGTGGTCCCGGGGATCGAACCCACTACCTTGGCGTTACAAGCGCCGTCCTCTACCAGCTGAGCTACAGAGGACCACTTATCAATGTTCTTGCTTATCTGATTTTCGAAATATCCTCAGCCTTTGTTTGCAATATTCTACTGTTCAGAGATAAATCCCTTTGTAACCAATTATTACGTATCTTTTTATATTTATCTAATAGGGTAGATAGGCGGGTTTATGACTTTGTGGCTGTGGTAACTAGCGACGACCAATGTCTATGGTGCAGACCCATTACGTCACCAGAACGATTTGTGTACATTATGCAAGTGGCCCGCTAGGCGGCATGGTCACTCCAATATTGAGTTTTAGATACAAGAACTAAATCAGAAATTAAGGTAAAGTCTTATGGGAATTTAATTTAGATTCAACATCACATACAAATAAACATTTAAAAAAAAAAGAGTTCACAATTTGCAGAAAGCAAAGGTATTTGATTGGATAATCTCGCTAATAGTATAATAATATTTCTTCATTAGTTCAGTGAGAGTGTGGTTTATAAAACATCACTCACTGTGTTTTATATGGTCATCACAGACTGAGTAACACTTGAAGAGTGACTGAAGACACTGGGAGTTTATGATTTTTTATTAAGATGTAAAATGGAGACAGTAAAAAATGTGAATCCTTAGCGCACCAATAATATACGTAACAACAATATACATATAGATCTATATACAGAATCTTGCTATGTCCCAGTCAAATAAAGACATTCATGTAGCATCATACACAATAAGCACTTATTCACTTACACCAAATCTGTCCCTGTCCCAGATGAGGCTACATGAAATGGCAGGGTACCTGTAGTTGCTCAGTCTGAACTTGGTCTTCTTATGGCAAACAGTCCAATTGACCACACAGACCACAACTCCCTCGTACTTGGCCAATAGATGCAAGGGCTCCCCATGCAGTGATGAACTGAAAACTTTGATTCAGTTAATCTTTCAAGAATATGCGACACACATTCAGAGGTTGTTGAGATTGAGAGGTGGTTGGTGTTGGTATGAGGTCTCTTTATACATGCAGACAGCTCATTCACACAAAACCCCTACATTTGCATTTACATTCCCTTTCACACACACACACACACACACACACACACAATACAAGTCTGACCATTAAAATAGAAGGCCTCCACGTACACCTGGACACTCTAGCATGCACACAAAAACAATAACACCTATCTGTACAACAGAGGCCAATTACTGTATAAGTTTAACTCTTATTATTTCTCTAAGTAAGTACCAAAGGAGGAAACTTGTACTTCTATTACAGTCACAAATACTGAACGTAGAACAGCTCACTCAAGTTGAGGGTTTGATCACATGAATGAGGACACCTTGACGAACTGACCCTAAAACAGTGGTAATGTAACCCTGGCTTCACCCTCCGTCACTTTTCCAAGAGGTGCTCCATCTCTGGATTGATGAAGGAGAAGCCGGCGAAAGCTGATTGGTCCATGGAATCCATGAAGTTCTTGTCGCCATGGGAGAGGCGAGGCTTCTCACTGAGGAACTCCCTGTCAAAGTTGCTGCAGTCATTGGGGGCTTTCTGTGATTGGCAGGAGATACATGTCAATCAGAAGAGAGGATACATGATACATGGAGACAGTAAGTGATGAATCAAATAATAAACAGCACATGCCTGATTTCTACTGAGCATTCAGTAGTTGAATTACTGTAGATCTTTGACATGATACACTAACCCCAAATATGTTATATTATGGTAGGCTTATTACAACTGTCCTATATCATCACTATAAAACCTAATGTCTAGACCGTACCACTTTGGGTCTGAAGGGGGGTTCCACCTCCCTTTTCTCGAGGGCGGGCCAGCTGATGGTCTTGAAGAAGGGGTGGACACGGATGTTACCCACGATGCCTAGCCTGCGAGTGGAGTCTCTCTCAAACAGCTGCAGGTGTGGAGGAGAGAAACACAGTGAGAAAGGGATAACAACACACAAAGGAGCAGAGAAACGGACTTAGAGGCAGAATTGGGACACAGTATGGGGGGTGGGGGAGGGCATACAGACCTTCTCCATCAGGTCCTTGGCCTCCTTGGTGATCCAGCGAGGGTAGTGGGGCGTGTCTATACGGATAGACTCAAACAGCTCTTCCTCGTCATCACCATGGAAGGGGGACTGGCCAATCAGCATCTCGTACAGCAGCACTCCAAACGACCACCAGTCCACAGAGAAGGAGTACTTTTGACCCAGCAGGATCTAAAAGTGATGTCATCAGATAGGAAGACACGGTCAGTGACATCATCACAGTGAGACACTCGTAGTGATTGCTTTTCAAATAATACCCTATTCAGTGCACTACTCTGGCTCTGGTCAGAAGCAGGGTACTAAATAAGGAATAGGGTGTCATTTGAGATGCTGCAGCCATGTCTGCGTTCCATACCTCTGGAGCGATGTAGTCAGGAGTCCCACAGAAGGTTGTGGCCTGGTTCTCCCCAAACACGTTCTCCTTACACATGCCAAAGTCTGCTATCTTTACGTGACCGCTATGATCCAACATCACATTGTCCAACTTCAGGTCTCTGAGGGCAGAGAGACAAAACAAGTAAGGGAGAGTAGGAGGAAAGACAGGATGGGAAGAAAGGTGTGGAGGAGAAAGGGTGAGAGGGTGACTAGTGTTGTGACAGCTAATAATCACATACTCACTGTCACACAACGTGATACTATCACTATATCAATCATTGGTGGAGGGGCTCTGGCCATTCTCTTTTATCTGTATGGTAATGTGATTGAGTGAGTGAGAGGTTAGTGAGTGTACATTAGAGTGCCGATGTTTGTGACTTACCTGTAAATGATCCCTTTGGAGTGCAGAAACTGAAGGCCACAGATGATCTCAGCAGAGTAGAACCTGGAGGGAGGGAGAGAAGAAAGGAGGGAGGAAAAAGAGAGATAAACATCACTACACAGTCTAGAGATCCAGCTAGCTGGCAGCAGAGTACTACTCTATCTATCCATCTCCCTATTGAGTTGGTCCCTGAACACTGCTGTCTGTCCCTGAAGACTCCAGTCCAGTGTGTAGCTAGCTGCATTACTGAAGAGGCCATTTGTATAGTGTGGTGCACAGTTGAGACAGCTGAACAATGGCTTCATACTTTAAGGATGAATGAAACCTGAGAGGTGCTCCTGGCCCAGTGGCCCCAACCTAGCCACAGCTAAAGGATTAGCCTATCTCTGACCTCCTTTTCTTTTTACCTCTGGGGTGGGGGAACTGATTGGGCCTTGATATGGATGGAGAGATTAGGATTGAGAGACTGATTGATTGACAGGAAGTGGGCTTTGTGCAGACAGGTTTCTCCTTTGACTCTTACTCAACACTCACAATCACTAACAAGTACACAGCAAATTGGCCAGTGTTACTGTCACGACTTCCTACAGTAAAGACTGCAAAAACACTACAGTGAATACTATAGTATTTATACTATAGTAGTTTTCCACGTAGACACACACACACACACACACACACACAGTGTAGTAGTCTGGGGGAACCGCACAACAGCATGCCAAATGGTGAAGAGGCAACTCAGTAAGAAACAGTGTGCAATGTGATTTACTGTTGTGTGTTTAGGGCGTGGCCCACTGTCTCTGTGCCACTGGGTTAAGAGGTTAGGGTCAGTCAGTCGATAGATAAACAGGTTCATTATGTTCTGAGATAGTGGAACTCATTGGAAACTCAGCTGTTTACCAATCTGCCCAGGGAAAAATATGACATAACCAGGAAACCAAACCAAGACTCCATTCTGCGCTGCCAGCTTGTGTGGTGCGCAAACATACACACGCACAATTGGTTAATGACTAATACAGCGGGAGCAGAGAGGGTGAATATCTCTCTCTCCCTCTCTGAAACTGTCTAGCCCATGCTGGATCAGGTATCGCTGGCAACTGTGTAGAAGTGAATCTCACCTGTCCTGAGCACAGAGGCTATATAGGCGCCTAAGGACTGATCTTTGTAACATCAAACTGAGCATCAGTTAGTTTAACATCCAGTTTCAGATGCACACTCAGAAGGGATCAACAGTCATGAGACTCTGTACCTCCTCTGTGTTTGATCTCACTCAAACTATCTGAATCTATACACTATCAGTCTTTCTGACTGGTGAAACTCACGTTGCTCTGTAGAGGTCAAAGCGTCCCTTCTCCTGAATATGGAACATCAGGTCTCCTCCATTCAGATACTCCATGACAAAGAACAGGTGTTCCTGTGGACAACACGGTCAATGTCAGTCATCATAACACATACTGTATAGTACCTAGTACAGTAGTGGTGTAATGAGCTATGAAAGCGAGTTTGTTATGCGTTTACATCACTTCTTATCGGAGACAGCTTTTGTAGACACAACGGGTAATCTTTCTGTTCTGTTTTTGCTTCTCTTCAGCACATCACATTGCTATTTGTTGCTAAAATAACCAGAATGACACACAATAAGAGGACCAAGGAGTGTGTGTAGGGTTATAGTTCGTACCTTGGACTGAAAGGTGGAGTAGAGGTGTGTGAGGAAGGGGTTGTCCCAGGCCAAGGCCAGGACTCTCTTCTCCACCATGGTACACTCCACATCATCATCCATCAGCACTACGTCTTTCTTCAGAGCCTTCACCGCAAACCACTCGCCCTGACCTTTCAACTCTGCCAGCAGGACCTGGGGAGAGAAGGATGGGGGACAGTAGGGGGAATAAAATGAGAGGATAAGAACAGAATAAAGGAAAGAAGAGAAGAAGACATAAAGTCTGTTGTGTCTACTGGTGTCCTGTATGTGAACTGTACTGTGGTGAGCTGTACTGCTCTAGGATCCTGATTGTCTGCTGTACCAGGCTTACCTTGCCAAAGCTGCCCTTGCCCAGGACCTTGTGAAAGACAAAGTTGTCTACGTTGATGCGTGTCAGGTGGGTGAGGCGAGATGGGGGGTGCGGGTTTGAGCCCTCCCACAGCCTGGCATAGGGGGGGCCGTCTGAGGAACACACACAGATCATTATAAAGTCATTTCCCAATCGTCATCATCATCATTATTATAATTAACATTACCCTTACGGAAAAAACACATGAATTTCACATGTGATCACGGGATCTTATGTGAAGTTAATGTGATAACATGACAACATGTGATAACTTGAAACTACACATGTGAAAACGTGATTACATGTGAAGTGTTTCAAAAACACATGTTTTCACATGTGAAATCATGTGGTTTTTCTGTAAGGATATAAAAACATATTTGTCTTCAAACCATTTACACAAACTTGATTTCAGTGAATTTAACATCACACATCATCATCAAATATGTTCATAAAATCAAACACACACACTGACCATCCAGACCACCAATGGAGTTCATATTGACTTCCTCATAGACCCCTATATCTGGGTCAGGTAGGGTTGGGTCCGAGCGCCGAGTGGAGGATTTCTGAAAGACAAACAGGAGATAGAGGGAGAGAGAATACGTTTAGAGAAGGGTGATGAGAGGGAGAAGCAAATAAAAACATGATGGAAACAGCAAATTTGTCGGTAAACTTTCCAAATGTCGAAAGAACAAAATACACTAGACAAGGTGGGATCTTCTTGTGTCAGTCAAATTTATAAATCAGAGAAATGATGGTGGAAACGCTTTTATGCGTAAATATTTAAGTCATGTGATGACATGTTATGTGGTCCTCACACTACGACTCAGGAAAGCATGCAGTTTATTAGGCTACAGATGAAATAAATTATGATGAACTTCACAGGGTGGTGACAGTGCAAGGTGATGTGAGCTTGACGCTCCTTTCCAATAAATATCGAGGGTCTTATTCTGACGACGTGATGATCGATGCTTGGCTGCAATTTGACAAAATCTGGCTCTTTTGTCCATAATAATATCATCATGTTGTCACGGTTTCGGCCGAGGCTGCTCCTCTTCCTTGTTCGGGCAGGCTTCGGCGGTCGTCGTCTCCGGAGTACTAGCTGCCACCGTTCTATGTTTCATGTTCATTTGGTTTTGTCTGTTCATAACACCTGTCCCTTATTTGTGTCTTAATTGTTTCCCTATTTAGTTTCGTGTGTGTGGGTCAGGTGTTATGCGTGATTGTTTGTTGTCAGACTGCCTCTGATGGTTTATTTCTCTCGTTGTTGGCGTGTCCCGAGAGTTCGCACTGCGTGCGCTTTTCCTGTGTATTTTCGCACTGTGTTTTGTGCGTAATTGTTTGCGCCACCCGGTTGGGTAGGCGACTATTTTGGTTCACGTGTTGAACAGTACTATAAAAGACGGTTGTAGTCATCCTGGTTCCTGCGCTTGATTCCTTCCACTCATCTACACACACCACTCTGACACATGTAGGCTATACCTGCACTGTATCTGCAAGCTGTTGGCTAGAGAGCACGTGCCAATACCAGAGTGGGCACATTCGTTATATACGCAATTCAGTAGAGTTGAAAATGCAATAGAAACCCATTTAACTTGTATTGTTTTATTCGGTACATGGGAATTTACCCACAAAAGGTATTTTTATGTGCACTATGTCGTCACGCACAGCCTTTTATCTGCAACAAGTCAATTTTAATTTTGATGGAAACAAATATCTGGTGGGGAAAATGCGCATATTGTTTTTAGGCAGATTTTAGAATATTCAAATGAAAATCTGTCGGCAATTGTATGGAAACCTAGCTACTGACAGTGTTCAATTTAACACTGAAACAGTGTCTATACGGGTCCACACTTTTGAGTGTTAAATTATTACTGTGCTTGGTGCTGACGCTGTTACACTGTCAGTGTTAAGGAATTAACACTTTCAGTGTTATGCAATAACACTTTACATAGTATTTTTAACACTAGGAAGTGTATATAGTTTGCACCAATGGTGTTATACAATAACACCTCTTATAGTATTTTTAACCATTACACCAAAAGGTCTGTATCTCTTGACAAGGTCACTCAGTGTTAAGTAAAGTGCATTACAATTATATTTACAAATCTTTATTACAACATGCTTTTATGTAAGTATTTACAGACTTCAGAACTGGCAGTGAACATGCTCAAACTTAAATTAAGATAACCATAGAACACTTAAACTGGTACAACACTTCCACTCACAGGTGGCCAAAAATAATGAATTGAAAGCCACGCCCCCATTAAGACATGCCTCAAATATAATTTCCCAGTGTGCTTTGCCTTTTGAGTGAATTGTAGAGTTACCACCCATGACTGTATTTGTTAGTGACAGAGACATGGTTGTTAAATTCCTAAATGTTTTGTCCAAGTGAGTTCCTACTGTAGGTGTATGTTATCATTAAAATTAAACATCAGATTTCCATAAAGACCAGGCGAAGGCGGTATAAGGGGTGGCAAGATGGAAGGACAAACCCCAGACCTGTTCTCTGGTCTTCAGCGTCCAGCCTTGCGTCACTCTTCTTCCACGCCCCACGCACCAACCACACCTCCAGCACCAGCCAAGGGCGATGGAGTTCACCCGGAGCGATCGGACCACAGGGGAGTGCCATCACCGACCCCTGGGTCTAGGGCTCCCTTGTGTGCCTGCTTCACCTCAGGTTGTCCTTCCTCCCCTCTGCAGATCCAGCACCAGTCCCAGCACCAATCCAGATCCAATTGGCCAGTCCCACCACCAGACGAGGAGGGACCAAACACCAGACCTTCACCAAGAGCGAGCGGACCACAGGGGAGTGACACAATTGACCTACGGGTATCGGGCTCCCTTCCGTGGCTGCTTGCTCCTCAGGTTCTCCTTCCTCCCCTCTGCAGATCCAGTACCAGTCCCAGCACAAATCCAGATACCGGTATCCGGTATCCAGATACGTGTCCAGATACCGGTACCGGTATCCAGATACGTGGTCCTCTGGCTGCTTGCTCCTCAGGTTCTCCTTCCTCCCCTCTGCAGATCCAGTACCAGTCCCAGCACAAATCCAGATACCGGTATCCGGTATCCAGCACAAATCCAGATACCGGTACCGGTATCCAGATACGTGGTCCTCTGTAGCTCAATTGGTAGAGCATGGCGCTTGCAATGCCAGGGTAGTGGGTTCGATCCCCGGGACCACCCATACGTAAAAATGTACGCACGCATGACTGTAAGTCGCTTTGGAAAAAAGCGTCTGCTAAATGGCATATTATTATTATTATTATATTATTATCCAGCACCAGTCCCAGTACCAGCACCAGACCACCAGACAAGGCGTGGAGGAGGGACCAAAGATCACACCTTCACCCGGAGCGAGCAGGACACTGGGAAGTACCACCATTGACCTCTGGGTCTAGGGCTCCCTTGTGTGTCTGCTTGCTCCTCAGGTTGTCTTTCCTCCCCTCTACAGATCCAGACCCAGCACCAGCCGCAGTTCCCGATATCCAGCCACTCCACCAGACCAACCATGACTGACGGACTGACTGACGGCCTAACTAACTAATTGACGGACTGATTATTGTTATTTAATCAAATGCACTTGTTTGTAATTTTTGGGGGTAATTGTTTGTTTTTCTTTTGATTTGATTAACTTAAGTTTGAATGATTACTTATTGTTTGAATTGTATATTATTGGGAATTTGATTTGAAATTTTAACATGTAATACATTTTGGAATAACCAAATAAATTGACCTAAAATGGAACTATTTACAGCTCTGGTTTCACTTCATTACACCCAACCCTGTGTGGTGGAGATGTTCTGGGGTTGTATCCCTCTCTCTACCATATCTATATATATCTATATATATATATATATATCTATATATATATTTATATATATATATATATATTTATATATCTCTATCTATCTATCTATCTATCTATCTATCTATCTATCTACCATATCTACCATATCTACCATATCTACCATATCTACCATATATATCTATCTATCTATCTATCTATCTATCTATCTATCTATCTATCTATCTATCTATCTATCTATCTATCTATCTATCTACCATATCTACCATATCTACCATATCTACCATATCTACCATATCTATCTATCTATCTATCTATCTATCTATCTATCTATCTATCTATCTATCTATCTATCTACCATATCTACCATATCTATCTATCTATCTATCTATCTATCTATCTATCTATCTATCTATCTATCTATCTATCTATCTATCTATCTATCTATCTACCATATCTACCATATATATCTATCTATCTATCTATCTATCTATCTATCTATCTATCTATCTATCTATCTATCTATCTATCTATCTATCTATCTATCTCTCTCTCTTGTATTTTATTTTATTTTGAACAGTGGCTTGACCGTGGCTGATGCTGTTCCCCTAGTCCACGGCCACTTGACATCAGAAGGACTGGGGAAGAAGGAAAGGTAACAGTGGCTTGACCGTGGCCCGACCTGACTCCCCAGTCCATGGTCCACCCGACACCTGAAGGGCTGTGGACAAAGGAAAGGTAACAATGTCTGGACTGGGGCACGAAAATGGCTGGTCCAGTTAAGAACGGACCAAACGGAGAGGGCGGAGTCCAACACCATCACGCTGGGGAACAACAGGCGTTCCGTCCACTACTACGGCATGCCCAAACTGCGCAGGAACTGCGGCCAACTGGGCCATCTGGCTACAGCCTGCACAGCCATCATCTGTAAGAGCTGTAAAGACAACCATCCCACCTCAGACTGTATCTCTACACGCCGCTGCAACCTGTGCAGGAAAGGGGGCCACTTCCTACGCCGGCAGGGCAAGGGCCATCGCCACCAACCCCAACCCCACTAACCCAAATCCCAACCCCAACCCCACCAACCCCCCACCCCCTCCACAACAAAGACCCAGAACCAGTCCCAAAACCAGACCTTTCCACAGGCACCGCTCAACCCACCACCCAAGACGTCTCAGAAACTGCCCCCACTCCTGTCACCACCCAAGACATCCCAGAAACCGCACCCACCCCTGCCGGCCCCTCCACCTCTGCCCCACAGTGTAAAACTGACACAATCACACTCTCACACTCAACACTGGTTATTAATACTAACACTGGG